ACGAGAGTGCAGACTGGAAGCTTCTTCTTCACTGCCAATACAGCTCTGGCAGAGGGTGGTCCGTCACTTCAGCCAGATCCACTTGTCGCCCACGTCCGCATTATACCCGGGGCAGTACTTGCGGCCCGGCAGCTGTGGGAGGAAGCAGGCAAGGTCACCATGGGTTTACAAGCAGGTCGGTCCCCCAGCCCACTGCCCTGCGTTCTCCACGCTCTGCTGTGAGTGACGAGCTCCACAGGCACTGGGCACAGCATAGCTCTGCCTGAAAGAGCTTCCGTCCTGGCAGGGGGCCTTTGGAAACCAACTCAGTGTCCCATCCTGTCAGGAGAGTGACGAGGCCATGGAGGGGACACCTGGGTAAGAACTGGACAGGGGGTGACCCAGCAGACACCAGGGCGACAGCATGTTCCTTCTCAATGCTCTGCCCAGACCATGTGAAAACCCACTGATAAAGTCCCAGCTGAGCGGTCACTGTCCAGCAGGAAGCACAGTAGAAGCACTGGGCTACAATTAACACGAGGCCTTAGTCAGTGCGGGTGGGTGAAGGAGCCACGGTGGAAGCTGTTAGCTGCCCAGGACCCAGAGCTGCCACTGCAGGAGGGCAGGAGGGGCTATCACGGCAGCAATGATGTTGGAGGACAGATGGCTCAATGCCCGTTCCTCCTAGTGGCAGTTGGGGAGCAGGGGCCCTGTGACACAGTCCTCCCAGGACACAGGCAGGTGGGCCTGGAACAGCAGCTACCAGGCATTCCCATGGGCAAAAGAGCCGGCATGAAAGCACAGTGACCATGGCTGTGACGGTGGCCAGCTAGATAGGGCCCGCTCCTTGTGCAGGGAAGGCTTGTACCGGGTGCTGGGGCTACAGGACCAGAAGGGGCAGGAAGACATCAGGGAGCCGCATTTCAGCTCTCTGATTCCAACAAGAACTTTGGCTACCACAGGTGGTCACTGGGCCAGAAGGGCTGCTCCCTGTGGGTCCATGTGACTGACACCTGCATCTGGCTTCCATGGGCCTCAAGGGCTCAGGAAGTCCTGGAGACACAGAGGGGCACGCACAGTGTGGGAGGAAGGTCAGGTGGCTCCCCAGTGACATAAATAAATAGATAACACAGCAGGGAGAAGAGAAAGCAGGTACTCACAGCAGAATGCTAACTAATGATGCAGGACTCACAGAATCAGGAAAAGTGTAATTTGGCAACCATCCTATTCATAATTTAGCCAAGAAAATCAATAAATGGTAGAATGAACGCTTGAGGAGGAAATGGACATTGACAGTTTCAAAGTATGCCCCTCAAACATATACTAATTACAAAGAGTGAAGACACAATCTTAGTCAAGGGACCAAAGTCAATACAACCCATGACAGGACAGACAGGAACCAGGTGCCACCTGACAAGATGCAAGCAGTTCTGTGACAGGCCCACAAAAACAAAACGCAGCCTCAATCTGATCATGGGAAGCAGCGAGTGAACAGTCAGGTGGAGGAACACTAAAAAATACCTGTCCTGTGATCTTCAAAAGTGTCAAGGTCTTAAATGTCACGGAAGGCTTGAGGAACTATCAGATTCAAAGAGACTACAGAGACAAGACAATCAGATGCAATCCATTATCCGGGGTGGGCCCTTTTGTTCTAGAGAACATTACTGGGGTGACTGATCACCTGGAACCAGGTCTGGGATTAGCAGCAGCAACACATGAACACCAATCCCCTAACTGCAGGAGAAGGTCCTTGACCTTAAGAGTCACACATCATGGCAGGGGGTACCTGGCCCACCCAAGAGGACCTGACCCTGGGACCTGAGAGCCGGCTTTCCCAAGGAGTGCCCAGGAGGTGCTGTGCAGGAGCCACACCTGAGAACCTCAGTTTTAAAGTATTTGAAGCTAATTGGCACCATTTGATCACAACGGTTCAGAGAAGTTATTTTCCTATTCTTGTTATTTTTGTAAATTTGAAACATTCCAAAATAAAACATCAACAGAATGAAGACATGAAGACCACTGAAAACATAGTGTGAGACTGTCAGCAGGGACACTCTGGCCAAGGACCGATCCTAAGGGCAAGCCGGAGCCCAGGGAGGGAAGAGCACCAGCCGCATCAAACAGGGGCTACATCTCCAGGCTTCAAACATACGGAGAATTCGATGTGACAAAACAGCACAAGTGACAAGAGCTGGGTAAATGGAGGGTACAAGTCTCCCGAGATCCCATCACTGTTCTGGAATGAGAGAACTACTAACTAGTGCTAGACTTTAATAAATCAAGGATGACTATTCTAATCACTAGGTTAGCTACTAAAAACCATTTAAAAAGAATGTTAACTAGTAAACAAATAGAGGGGGAAATAGGATTTAAAATTTTCATCCAAAAGAAGACAGGAAAAAAATACATAAAACATGTAAGAACAATATAAAATATACAGTAAGGTAAGCTATTTACTTTTTTAAAATTGATTTAGAGAGGAAGGGAGAGGGAGAGAGAGATAGAAACATCAATGATGAGAGAGAATCATTGATCGGCTGCCTCCTGCACATCCCCTACTGGGGATCGAGCCTGCAACCCAGGCATGTGCCCTTGACCAGAATCAAACCTGGGACCCTTCAGTCCGCAGGCTGACATTCTATCCACTGAGCCAAACGGCCAGGGCTAAGGTAAGCTATTTAAACATAAATGTATCTGTAATTGCATTAAATGTGAACAGATAAATATTCCCAACTTTCAGACTGAACAGAACTAAAAACACAACTGTTTTCAGGTTACAAGGTGCCCACTGGAAATATGAAGATACAAAAAGGTTGAAATTAAAAGATGCAGAAAAACAACTCTACCATGCAAATACTAAGCAAAAGAAGACTACAGATGCTGCCTAAGCATTGAATGAAGTAAACTTTAAGGTAAGAACCAAAGATAGTGAGAAAAAGTTCAGAACCTATAAAACGGTAACTCCACTGAGAATTTATAGCAATTTAAATCTGTCTTCTTCTAATGACACAGCCTCTAAATCTACACAGAGCAGAATTGGACAGACAGAGAAGGGCACATCCACATAGAGGCAGATCTCCACATCTCTGACCACAAGCTGACGGGAGAGAAAAGACCAGTGAGAATGAGGACAGTGGAGAATGTGGCGAACAGAATTCACCCCGATGAGACCAACTGAACTGCACACAGTGTGGGAAGGAGACCCTCTCCCTGAGGACCAGGGAACGTTACCAAAATTAACCAAACGCAGAACCGAAGGTCAGCCTCAATCACACCGCAAGGGCTGAAATTTTAACAAGTGTGCTCTGACTAGAGTGGAATTAAGCCAGAAAATCAGTAACAGAAAGATAATTACAAAGATCCCCACTGCTTTTAAGTTATCCAGAATAATTCAAATTAGCATACTGGTCAAAAAGGAAATGAGGTTATAATGAGAAAATACTTTAAATTGAATGATTATGCAACGATGACATTATGAAATCTAGCTAAGCTAATTTGGAGGACAATGTGTCCAGCTTCAAATGCATATATCGAACAGTAAGACAAGCCAGAAATCAACGACCCACCTTTTGCCTTAAGAAGTTAGAAAAAGATTTTCCCCCTAAAACCTTCCTGGAAACCCTAGCCCAGTCTCCAAATTTCTGTACTACAGCAACTGTTCCCAACCCTCTCCTGGAAAGCCCCCGCCCCCCAAAAAAGAAAAAAGTTAGAAAAGTAGTAAATGAAAGAGGAAAAAGAGCAGTGATCAGTGAATTGGATGTACAACAGATAACACCAAGCAAGAAGCTGGCTCCCTGGGCAACAGGCTCCCTCCAAGGGGGGAGGGAGAGCAGGGCAGTGGCTATTCGTAGGTGTGACCCAGTTAAAAACATAAAAAAAGACAAACAACTTCATGCCAAGAAATCAGAAAATTTAAACAAAATGGGGGCAAATGCCTCAAAAAATATAACTTGAACATTAAATATTCTGTCTATTAAAGAAAATAAATAATTTAAAATATTCCAACAGAGCCCACTAGTGAATCTTTGCAAACACGGCAGGAAGAAGCAACGCCCATCTTACACAACTTTCCAGAGAATAAAAGTGACAGCTTAGTGTCTGATGCCAGCAGGATAATGATAGTAAATCGGACAAGGATACTGTGAGAAAGGAAAATTACCACCCAGCCTCTCAGGATCTGGGTTTTGCATCTATGGATGCAAAACCCTACATTAAACGTGTGCATTAGATCCAGCTATACATGAAGAGGGAGATGTGCCCACAGGTGGGATCTACCCAGGATTCAAGGTGTGGCCTCACATCGAAAATCAGTCACTATAACTGACCATATTTACAGAAAGAAGAGAAAGATCATCCAGGGCAGACAAGGGGTGGTAAACTCAGTACCAGACCTGAAGAAAGTCTTTGGAAAGTAGTATTAAGATGGAACTGCCTCACTTGAGAAAGAGTATCTAAAACTAACTTACAGCGACCATGACACTGATTGGTGGGCCATGAGATCAGAAACAAGACAGGACGGCACTGTGACAACCTCCACTCAGCATGAACTAGACATCTATCCAGGGTAGTCAGGCAAGAAAAGTAAAAGGGGGGGATAAGATTAGAGAGATAATACTGTTATTTGCTGGCTTGTATTTTTTTTTTTGCTTTTTATATCTGGGACTTTTGAATGTCCATGTTCCATACAGAGTTAACATTTGAAACATCCTGTGTTTGCTACAGTTGTCAGATGATGGCTCAGCTGCTGGTTCACTGGAACTTTCCTGACTATGAGCAGGGTCGCTCATATGTGTGACCTCAAAATGTCACACATAAAGGGCATCATCTATATAATCAGCTCTTGTTCAGCTCTTCAGTCTGTTGCATCTCTTGGGAGCAGCCCCACAGGATTACCATGCCAGACGGAGTCTCCCCTGCTCTGGATACCAGGCCTACTTTCCCAGGGGTAATCAGGCTCACTCTTTCTTGCTAAACAGAGAGAAATAAATACAATCTATACTTTATAAATAGGCACACATTAACAGAAGAAATGAAAACTCCTACAGGCATGAGCTGTTGCCCAGTTATAATCAATGAAATACACACACTGAAACATAAGCTCCGTGAAGACATGACTAATCTGGTTCGCTGGGTCTCCTCAACTTCTCGACCTTAGGCTTTCCACTCCCTCTGTGCTTACCGAGATCACCGGCACCGTGACTTCAAATGTCAACCACATGCTGACGACTTCTAAATTCACAGTTACAACCCTCCCTTACTGCCAGACTCCAAACCCATTAGACCTGTTACTCAACATCTCCTCATGGGGATACTAAGTATCTTGAACGTACCATGTCCAACAGTGAATTCTTGATTCTTCCCTGAAGCCTGTACCTCTGTGTTGTCCAGTATCAGCCAATTCCCAGCCCAGAGTTCCAGTTTCTGAGCCCTAATGCAGCAGTCAGCTCACTTCTCTCTCCCACTTTCCAACACCAAATCTCAACAGATCCTGGAGGTTCTACCCACAATATGACTTTTCCAAAGTTGTATGATGACGCTGCCCTCTGACATGTACTCTGCAAACTGTCTTCTGGTGCTCCCCCTGCTTTGCCCACACTTTGGCCAATCTGCTTCAAGTTAGAGGCAGAATATTCCCAAGACATAGTGTGTCACACATGTCCTCCTTCTTGCCATGTCCTACCCAGGTAAGCCATCTCTTCCTTACTACCTGTCCCCTCCCTCCCTCTGCTCCAGCACAGTCCTCCTTCCTGTGTCTTGATTGTACAGGAAAAGCCTTCCCTCACATCGGGGGCTCCCCTCTCAGTGCCCCAGCCACTCCCACCTCCTGCATCTCTGCCCACACTCCTTCTTGTAAGGCCTTCCTAGGCCACAACCAAGATCTTTAAGTTCAGCTCCCCTTGAAGGGGCTCTGTCGTAACCTCTGCTGGGAATTTAATTTTTGTCCACAGCACTGGTCACCACTGTTCAACCAATTCTGTTTTACTTTTTGTTTTGTCTCCTTCCCCTGTGATGTAAGCTCTGTAAAGGCCAAGATCTTGCTCATCTTAGGCACTGCTGCCCCACGTCTAGGACAGTCTGACACTAGCACACACTCACTAAGCATGTAGTGGAACAAGTAACTGAGCTAATGAACAAATGGCACCAATGCGTGACAGAACAAGACGGAGAGCCTGGCGCCACAGAGCCTGACATGAGGAGAGTGTGGCTGCTGACATCATCCAAGGCCACCTCCCCACTGGGGCCAAGGCTCCATACCTGTGTGCCACTGCCTTTTTACTTTATTTTAAAAGGACACTTCACACCAGTAATACAAGTAGAAAGCCAGTACCCTCATCATAAACAATAGAGCATGAAAAAAACGTATAAAAACGAAGCCAAGTTACTAATTCCACATACATATCAATGACTACAAAATTCCTGAGCTTGCCTTGTTTCTTTGTATAAAAGTGAGACTATCAGAAGTGAGCCAGATGCTAAAGATGTAATCAGAGTAACTTTTTTAGATTAAAGGGCAAAACTTTCTCACTAGTAATTTATGTATGTTTTTAAATCCTCTCTCCACCCAGCACATTAAGTCCCCAGGCCCCATTGGTCTGGACTAACAGACAGCACTGAGCGACCATGGATGCCCTCCGGGCTGTGATGACAGCAGACTCTGCAGGAGCCAGATGAGCACGTTACAGGATCTGAATTCAGTCTGAGTCTGGGAAGGGCTGTGTGGTCAGCTGCCTCTGCATATTATGAAGAGGGGCTATAGGGTCAGGCTGGGCACAGTTGGATGCCAGGCAGGAAGCTGCGGGACAAACTGAAGATCATGGAGGCTGCACAGAAGAAAATGAAGCCATTTGTAAAATGGACTCCACAGGACCTGGGGAGCCATTAAATGCAGAGTGAGTGGAACATCACCAAGCAGGTTTCCTGGCCTTTGCAAGTGGCAGAGGTGGCACAGCTAAGCCTTGCCACAACCAAACTGTGGACCCGCACAGTTCCACTCAAACAGACGCAGACTGCAAGTACTCACACCCAGAGGCCAGCATGAAACATACCCACTGAGGTAACTCAGAGTTTCCTAAAATTTCTACACTGAATAAAATCACTTTCAAAACAACTAGAAGAACTTACTTAAAAGAAAATGCCAAGGACCTCAAGTAAGAAAGGAAGCAGTGAGACATACCGCGACACCCAATCACTTCAAGCATTTTGCAAGCCTCAAATCTGAGAATTACAGTTGTGCGAAAGTATTTAACTTTCAATTTACCCAAATGCTGCCTGCTTAGCTTGTCTAATTTAAATACAATCATTTCACACGTTCGCCATTAACCCCTTCCCCGGCAGAAACGTGTATACTCGTTTTCACAAAATGTTCTTTTTCAGTCGTCGAGTATACTAAGAAAATATGGTAAAAAAATATGGTTTATAGGAAGACGAGTTACAAACTGTTTTCATAACCAGCATCAAAAATACTATATAGAACCAAAATAAAAAAATTAGTCTGAAAAAGAAACGTTTTTAACAAAAAAATTGTTGGGGAAGGGGTTAATAACCCCAACCACAGCTGATGGAGAAATTGGTCATGTTCCGACTATTTCACTGGCACCAGCATTCCAGAGAAGACTCTCTCTCCATTCACCCACTGGGTTCCAAACCAGAACCAATGCATGTTCTGTAAGTTCATGGAATCTTGCCTGAAATGACTCCACAAACCATTGTGAAAATAACTCACTAAAAAGGTATGGAAATCAGATAAGAACAATAAAGCAGGTGACCCTCCTGACCTCTGCTCTCATTGCTGTCCAACTGGGCCACCCCTCCACTATTTATGAGCCACGAAGAGCCGAAGTTAAAGCTGATAATAATGACATGGAGATAAAGCTAAGGAACCCAGAACATTTTTACACCAAGATAACATGCTGATGAGGAATGTCGCTTGCACACACACTGCCCAGAACATCTTCCTCTTCATGGCCTGGCCGTCTGAGGGCCATGTCAGCTTTACAGACCAGGATAAAGGGAGAAAAGGAGAATCATTTAAACGAAAAGAAAGCTCTTTCACTGAAAAGGAACAATGACCACAACCATTTTTCACAGAAGCAATGTTGTCCCCAGTTGTTTGAGACCCACAGCAGGTCAGCTTTCTGGCTTCAAAGGTCTCACCTCTGAGAATTCACGGAAGACTCGGTCACTCTGGTGCGCTCCAATCGTGATTTCTGGGAGATAGATTGGAATGGTTGTGTAATTCAGCACCTTCAACTTATCCTGAACCCTAGGAAATAAGACAAACATAGGTCATGCTAAACCACCAACATAAATAATGAAATAAGCTGTAAGGCTGTTTTTTAAACACATCCATATTAAAACATTAATACATTCAAATAAATGCCATTCATTCCCAAGCAGTCATCTTGAAGCACAACTTTCACCTCAAAGACCATCTGCTCTTTGTGGCCCTGCTATTGGAATGACTTTCACAGCCTGAGTGGAGTCTTTCAAAAGCCTCAGTGCCCGGATGACTACCTTTGAGAGTGGATACAAAATGGAAACAAACAAAAAAAACAGCCACAGTGTGCTTTATTTTTTTAAAATATTTTTCTTTATTGATTTCAGAGAGGAAGGGAGAGAGAGAGAGAGAGATAGAAACATCAATGATGAGAGAGAATCATTGATTGGCTGCCACCTGCACACCCCCTACTGGGGAGCAAGCCCACAACCCAGGCATGTACCGTTGGCCAGAATCGAACCTGGGACCCTTCAGTCCACAGTGTGCTTTAAATATAGGCATAGCAGGAATAAAAAGGTAACAACAAACACCATATATTTCAATGTCATGTACATAATGTCCTCATTAAAAACTTGCGAAATGAATGAGTCTTGAGGAAAGAGACTTGAGTCAGGTGGGTCCGCCAGGTTGACAGCACAGCATCGTGCCTGCCACTCCCCCAAAGGCCGACACCATCTGCAGGGTCTGCAGGATCAGGGCTCTGGGGCTCAGGGCGTGGGGAATGGGGTGAGTTTCCACACAGGATGGGCTGTTGTGCCAGTGCTTGTAATAGGTCTAGCTCTCTGCCTTTCTTGGCACCGATAAATACAAATCATAGGGTCCTCTTCTTGTTTCTCCATTTTGTTTTGCTGGATGCTAAAATATTTATACTTCTGTAATTTGCTTAAATTAAATTTAGTCTGAATATAAACACTATACTTGAAGATGAAAAGCATTTTTGGGGCTTTTAGAAAGAAACATTAAAATAAAGTCTCCTTTCTTAAGGGCTCAAAACAAAGAAAATAATTATTTTAAATGGCCACTTTCCCATTAAGGAGTTATAATGGCAGATGTTTCTGCTTGTAATGGCCCAAATGGAAGTTTTTTAAATGTCTCTGGCTCTTAGCCACTTGGTGAGAGCAAGTCCAGACCTACCAGGCAAACCCAAGCCTGTCCCCACACCACAGGCAGGCCCCACTGCATTCGGCATAGCCCGATCTGAATCCAGGGCTCAGTGATCCTCTGTCCCTCTCCCACAGAGGGACACAGAGCACCAGAACTCATGGTAGGTGCGTGGACAGCAGGTAAAGGCATACCCCAGTGTCACAGTAAAAGTCACATCACTGACTGAATAATCCCCCAACCAGACATCGCTCCAGAAATTCTGCCAGGATAACTGACTGCTTGCCTAGGATCCTGGTGTGGACTTTACCTACCACGCACGTGGCTGTAGTGCACACAACTCAGACCAGAATTTTTCTCTTCTAACAGTAATTGGTTTTAGAATATATTTCATAAGCATGTATCAATAATGCATAAATACACATCTTTTTATTTTTAACACAAATAGAATTACTTCATTCTTATTATACAAGGACAATTTTTAAAGTGATCTCACAATAAACATTTTCAAGTAAAAATGAAGTTTGTATGTTTAAATGTTAACAAATATCAAGGTACATAAGATCTGGTTTTCTCTACAGCTTGAAAATCCTAAAAAAATTGTGGAAAATTTGAAAGGACTTACTGGCTTGGCCTGGGAACTTGAGAGGAATACACAGAGCAACAGCGCCATCTATGTTTGACTTGGCAGAACTATATTTTCACATAACCTCCCGAAAAGGATGGATCTATACAAACATGCTTCAAACTGTTTTTGAAGACTACAAAATTATCTGTGACTGTTCAGACTTCTTTAAACTGGCTATACTGCTCCTCCAGTGCCTCACTATGAGCCTGAATTGTGACCTCAGAAGAGCCTGTGTACCTATCATCAGTAAAGCCACATCTTTATCTCTAATCATCTAGACAGATTGAAGATAAGGAATGAGGACAACAGGAAGCCATAATTTTATGACCCAGGAAGCAAAAGCAATGAAACAAAACATTCTGTTCGCAGAGCACTCAATCTGATTAAGGAGAACTCAAACTGGCTGAGAGTAATATAGCCTCTTAACATCATGACCCAAAGTACATTTAAATGAGATTAAATGTACTCAAGTTTGGTTTATAATATGAGGTGCTAGACCACATATTTTAAAACAAAATGTGAGGCAGGAAAAGACAAAACAACAACAACAGTAAATTATGTTTTGTGACTTAACTGTTCCCCAATTAACACAATGTCTATAGTTCCTCCTAAAACACATCCAAAGCATCTTTTTAGTCTTTCCTGAAGTGTAAAGGTCTGTGTGAAGCACTACATTTCTGATCCCACACTCACAACTCAGTTCTACAGCACTGGACATGCACATCAGAAAGACGATCTCCAGGAGCCACGGAACACAGGACTCAAAGAGGGAGGGCTTTAGGGGAGCAGCAGGAAGGCAGAGGCCCGGCTGCTAACCAGTCAGCACAGGAGTGAAGCTGACAGCGCGGGCACCAGTCAGTTACGGATCACAGCTATGAGATCAGAGCGCTCTCAAGGTTGAAAACCAGTTACCATTCAGCATCAGCACACACAAACATAATTACACACTGACACACGTAACTGAGACGGTACAACATTGCTCTTAACTAGTAATTTGGTCAAGTTCTGGATAAATGAGTATAACTAGTAAATGGCATGTTTACAGTAACTATCTCAGAAAATTGATCATAATTTTCACTTGAGTCCCCCAAATTAAGAAGTAGTACTGGAAAACAAACACCACTACGACTATACACTGTTATGAAATATCTTTGGGGAAAGGGCAGAGGAGCACAAACTGGGGGAAGGATAGGACAAGAGCGTTTGCAATAAATGAATTGAAACAATTTAATGTTATAATTGTGAGCTTTGCGGGAATTATAGGATCTTTCTCTATGCTCTGATAACCACACAACTAAATAACTACTAAAATTATGATTATAAGACAGGAATTTTGGACACAGTCTAGAATGATTCCAGATTGTGTTCAGAAAATGACACTGTATTACCAACGGAAGGACTCAAAAAGTGATTGCACATGGCCCAGTCTCCATAGAATGTCAGGAGAGTCACCTCCTATTTGATATTTCACATATTTAGCCCCAACAGAAGCTGATATTAACAAGAATCATATACAAATCCATATACAATAATAGCCTAGAAAAGTTGAGGGGAGGTTTCCAGGAAAAACAAAGGTGACTATAGTCTTATAAGATCACTCAGATTTGCACATATTTCCTGGGCAGGTGGGGGAGGGGGACTTGTGGGGCACTCTGATGGGCCACAGAGGGTTAGGACTGTGAACTATCCTAGAAGTGAGACTTGGTCCCCTGACTAAACACAGCTCTGCCACTGCAGGACCCGGGGTGAGGAGAAAAGTGTCCCTGTGACATTCTGAAAACTGACCTGATGGGCGTGTGCACAGGGGATGCGTGGGATGAAGGAGTAACTGACCGGAGGACTGCAGGTGGCAAGTGAGGGGATGAAACACCAACAGCAGCAGAAGTAATGAAAGAGGATGTCAGGGAAAGAAATCACTGGAGGCAAACACACAACGTTAGGGTGGGATTCCAGGAAAGGAATGGGACCAGGAGATGAAAGCAGGGTTCAGAAAAGTGACAGCTGAACTAGGAGGCGACACTCAACAAGCCTAAGCTGATGGGAGCCTCGAGGGAGGATAAGATGATCAAGCACAAGGCCACAGGGAGGTGCCAAGAGCCAGACACCACACCCTCCGGACCACTGTCACAGGACCATGCCCATCGGAGCTCTGAGACCTGTTTCCCTACCTGTGAAATGAGGAGAGCCCCCACCTGGCAAGAGTGCTGTGGAATCAAAAGTTTCTGAAACACCTTCCAGATACAATGTTGACACGAAGGGTGATTATGATTAAGGCTGAGATCTCAAGACATCAGACCTAGAGCTGGAACACTATGCAGCAGTTAAAGAAAAGATGTAGATTTTTAAAGCAAGATTCAGAATAATACTGTATAAAATATCATTTAGGGACATTTACAAAAACATCTAGACAAAACAATATAATCATCTAGACCAGTGGTCGGCAAATTCATTAGTCAACAGAGCCAAATATCAACAGTACGACGACTGAAATTTCTTTTGAGAGCCAAATTTTTTAAGCCTGAACTATATAGGTAGGTACATTGTTATTAACTTAATTAGGGTACTCCTAAGCTAGCCTTTGCTAAAAACGTCCTCAGTCTGATTGAGGTACGTTCACTGAGGTCGACCCCTTCCAACTCTCCCATCCACACTAATCTTGTATACTTGTTTCAGATAGCCGAGTGTGGATGGGAGAGTTGGAAGGGGTCGACCTCAGCGAACGTACCTCAAAACAATGTACCTCCCCGGCGCTGCGTATCCCGCGGCCCACCTGCACCACGTCTCCTGTCGCCCGACCGACCAACAACCCCCACTTCTTCTAACGCCACTTCTTCAAAATAGACTCGCCCAGGCCGAAAACCGACTTCTGCTCATGGGCCATGAAGTTTCAATCGCACTGTACATGGGTGCCCGCACATGTTATTTTGTGGAAGAGCCACACTCAAGGGGCCAAAGAGCCGCATGTGGCTCACGAGCTACGGTTTGCCGACCACTGATCTAGACAAAAGAGAAAGCTGACCACAGAGCTTTAGAAAACTAAGAGGATTTCCAGTTTCAGCTGAGAAGTAAAGTGCCTGAAAGCCACCATTCTTGCCCTGCATGTCGTCCACAAGAAACCCATTTTAAATACTCAGTTGGAAGTGAAGAGATGGAGGAGGACAGACCCTACCTACACAAATCAGAGGCTGGAATAGTTGTATCAATTTCAGACAAAGCAGACTTCAGAACTAGAAAAATTACCCAGGATAAAGAGGGGCATTATGTAATGATAAGTGAGCTCATTCTCCAAGAAGAAATAACAACCCTAAACACCCATGCACCTAACAAGATGGCATCAAAATGCATGAGGCAAAAATGAACAAAACTCAAAAGAGAAAAAGATAAGCCCGATGTGTTAGCGGAAGACCTAAATGCTTCTCCCTGTGTCTGACAGACCCAGCAGACAGGAGCAGTGAGGAAACAGGGACCTGAACACCCGTCCATCAGCCCACCTCACATTTATAAAACATTCCATTCAGTAACAGCAGAATCCACCTTCTCATGTTCAACTGGAACATCAATCAAGATAAAAAAAACTCCTGATCACACAGAACATCTCACCCAATACAACAGAGTAGAAATCATACAAAGCAAATTCTCTGATCACAATGGAATTAAACTAGAGAAATTTATAGCACTAAAGGCATACATTAGAAAAAGACTTGAAATCAATCTTCTAAGCTTCTACCTTAGGAAACTAAAGTGAGAAGGGCAACTGAAGCCTAAAGGAAGCAGATTAAAGAAAAAGAAGTAATAAAAACTCTAGAGTAAGTATCAATGACATTGAAAACAGAAAAATAATCAAGAACATCAACAAAACAAAAAGCTGATTCTTTATAAAGATCAATATGACAAAATTTATAAAGGACTAATAAATAGCCAATAAAAATATAAATTATTTGAAGTTCAGGGTTTGTAAAATGCAAAATAAAGCAAATAATTTTCTCTGGTATCAAAATCACAAGATTTTGTTTGCTTTTTATTTTAACTACTAGAATCCCAGTGCATGAATTCACGCACAGGTGGGGTCCAGCTGGCCCAGCCCTGATTGGGGTGGATTGGGGCTGGGCCTGTTGGGAGGAGGAGACAGCAAGAGGATGGCTGGCAGGCCCGCCCCAATCGGGGCCCAATC